CCGAGTCAACAGCGTTGAGTTAGCATGAATCCCACGTGTCAGGGCCTCTTCACTCCTCTCTCTCTCTCTTCATCTATCTCTCATTCTCTTCACCTAGACGGGGAGGCCGTCCATGTCGGTGAGGACCAAGGAGGATGACCAAGGGTGCAGGCTGGAGCCATTGTTGATGGTGACGCCATTGCCAGTGACCGCGCGGCTATGAGGTCGAGCCGCTCTGGCCTCACATGTAAGCGACGCATCCCTCTTCTCTTTTCTCCCTCTTTGTCTTGAAGCCGATGCTGTGGTCATCGACTCGACGCAGCCACTGCCTGTGCGGTGGTGGTGCGTGTGTGCGCCCGCTTGAGCACAACAGTGAGTGCGTTGGAGAGTGGCGGCCATGGTCATCGCCTCGAAGGTCCTTGGTAGCTCGGACAACTATCCCGCGAAGCGCAACTCTGACGCCTCGGCCTCCTCCCCCTTCGCCTTCACCTCCACGCCATGCAGCCGCGGTGGCAACAACGACGACAACAAGGACACGCACCGCTCCTACCCTCTCCTCCATCTCCTCGCTCGGAGCTCGCTGTACGCTGGGGTTCCTCGTGCACGGGCTGGAAGCAGACAAGCAAGTGTGTTGCCCGTGGCTCAGTAGTGGCGGGCAGTGCAAAGCGCGAAGAGGCTGGACCAGTGAAGTTCTGATTCGGCCTCCGCCACGCCTTCCTTCTCCATTGCGAGCTCCGCTTGGCCTCCTTCTTAGCTACCCCCTCCTCGCCTGTCGCCTACAGCAACCATTGTCGCCGTGCGCGGCCAAGGGAGAGGGAGGGGTTGTGCTGGATGGTGACGGTGACGATGCTCGAGATTGACATCCGCTGCTGACCGCATCTGGGGAGGAAGAGGGGAGAAGGGGAAGGAAATGCCACCACCCACCGGCCACATCTGGGGAAGAAGAAGGGAAAAAGGGGAGAAGGGGAGGAGATAGAGAAGAGAGAGGATGCGTTGGAGGAAGTAGGGTCCACTGACATGTGGGTCTCACTACTATTTTTTAATCTCATTGTTTGACTGACATATGGGTCCATATATTTTGTTTTAATTTTTAAATTGTCAGATTTTATTTCATGTGACACGTCAGATGAAAACCGAGTCAAATTAGTCATATAGGCGTCACACCAGTTGAAACCACCTTGAGACCTATATTGTACCGGTTTTAACAGTTGAGGACCTGTTGTATTTGGTATTATGGTTGAAGAACGAAAATCGAACTCGCTGTCAAAAGAGACCTAGACTGAACTTATTCGTTTAATCTAGTAGTAGTAATTGTCTTTGGCCCATTCGGCCTGATAGGGTTTAATGGGCTTGGCTTGGTCAGCAATTTGAGGCTGGATTGAGAAGGGCCAAATTAGGCCAATTTCATTTCAGAGACATTAAACATGTACCGATGTATACTATCTCCGTCCCAAAATATAGCAACTTTTAGCTATTAAGTGTGTCTAAATTCATAGCTAAAAATACTTATATTTTGGGACGGACCGAGTATATATTTGACATGAACTAGCTAGATAAGTAGTACTCACTGAAATAAAATTAATTTCCTCTACAACCAAAAGGTAGGCATGAACTAGCTATCGTCGGATGCATGGTTCAAACGTCAAGCTCACCAAAATCTTGAGAAGCTAGAGATGGTTAAGGACGTGAACAGTACGTACACAAACTTAATGAAACGCATTATTCTCCCACAACCTGTACAAAATTTAGTGTCGGCAATAACCCATCTGCTGCTTCTTTTTGATAAAAAGGAGGCCAAGCCCAAGCAACAACCTATCAATCATTCAATCGATCTGTGACCAAGAAGAGAACAAGGAGCAACAGGTTTACCATGTCCAATTGTCCATAGGAATCAGCACGTGTGCTTACCTGCTAAAAAGAGTTGGAATTTTGCTACTGTTGAGTGAACTTAACTGTGAGATGTTTGTGTCCTTTGAACCGCATAGAGAAAACTGATGGCCATTCATGAGCATCACGTTTTGTCTCATCCCCAATAATACCTCTCCTTGTCTTCTCCGTTTTCCTGGTCCAATCTTCTCATTAAATTTTCTCTCCTCCAATTCTTAACCTGATCAATCCTCATTTAGTCCTTACCAGATAGACCAACTTGAGCTACCCATTAATGCTCTAGTAATCTTCTTTACCTTTTGTTTTTCTCTTACCATTTTGCTTATGGATTACTCGTACCTACAAAGGTGAACTTGTTTAATCCTTCAAACCAACTGACACCAAACCGGTCGATTAATTCTGTCATCAAATGTACTTCTCTGCTTAATTATTGTGAAACTAAACAAGATAATACTATATCCGTCTTTTAATATATAACACCGTTAACTTTTAAAAATAATATGTTGGATCATTCGTTTTATTCAAAATTTCTATGCAAATATCCATAAAATATGTCATAACTAGCTGGGTGGCCCGCGCAATTGCGCGTTTAGCACCCAAACAAAATCATATATTTTTTAGTATTATTTTACTTAAAATTTATTAAATAGCTATCTCATTGTCTTAAGACTTTGAAAGACCAAACCTTATCATCCTCGTGTTTTTAATTATATAGTTTTTAAAAGTCACACCATTATCATCCTCGTGTTTCTAATTATATAGTTTTTAAAAGTCACACCAGTTGCTACCCCTTATGTCATCTCTTTCTTTATTTGCTTACTCGATCTATCACTATTTCTATTCATTCTTTCTGGAACCTTTAAAATTTGGATTTTATAGTTTTAGAGTTTATTGTCATATTGGGTTTCGTTTTTATAATTTCTAGATGTCCCGTCAAACGTTGCCATTATACTCCTCTACGACCCGTCCATTGTCTCTTCTCTTTATTGTCATTGAGAATTTAAAAATCGAACATAATTATCGTTTGGATTCATTTTTACTTTAAGTCCTGTCAAACCGTCAGCGGCTTTGCCATTGTACTCTTCTACGGCTCGCCCGCTGCCTCCTTTCTTTATTGTCATTGAGATTTTAAAATCGAACATGATTATCATTAGGTTTTTTTACTTTTTGGAAGTTCCGATCCTTTAAAATTTGAACGATGCCACTATGCCCCTCTACAGCCCGTCCGTCGCCTACTCTTTATTGTCATTGTGATTCTAAAAATCGAACATAACTATCGTTGGAATTCATTTTTTATTTTCTATAAGTCCCGTCAACCGTCGGCGGCTCTGCAACCATACTCTTATATGCCCGCCCGCTGCTTCTCCTTTTTATTGTCATTGAAATTTTAAAAATCGAATATGATTATCAATGGGGTTTATTTTTTTACTTTCTAGAAGTCTCGGCAACCGCCTTACTTGTTTGCTTCACGGCCTGCCTGACGTCCCTCCTTTTAATCGTCATTAGGATTCTATTTGTTGTTTTATTAACATTTTTTATATGGCGTATCAACCGCCATCACTCTACTCCTTTATAGGCCTGTTACTTAATTTATCTCGTCGTGTGTTTTAGATGGTTTTTTCTTTCAATAGTTTTTATTTTTATCACAAATTTTAGTTATTTATAAATTGTATTTCTAATTTAAATCTTATTTTTTCCTTTTCTAATTTTAGAACTTATTTTTTTAAAAAAAATAGTTAATACCGTATTGTGTTCTTTAAATGTTTTTATTTTTTTATTTTTAATTTCAGTTGTTTCAAAATTGTATTCCTACTTAAACTCTATTTTAATTTTTCTAATTTTGGATATTATTTTATTTTTTATTTGAAATTTTAATTAATCTCGTATTGGGTTCTTATACGGATTCTTCTTTCAATATTGCTTATTTTTAATTCCGAATTTCAGCTAATTTTAAATTGTATTCCTACTTGAACTCTTTTTTATTTTCTTTTGCTAATTTTGAATTTATTTTTATTTTTATTCTGAATTTTAATTAATCTCGTATTGGGTTCTTATATGGACTCTTCTTTTTAATATTCCTTATTTTTAATTCCGAATTTCAGCTATTTTTAAATTGTATTCCTACTTGAATTCTTCTTTCCTTTTCTAATTTTGGATTTTATTTTATTTTTATTTTGAATTTTGGTTAATCTCGTATTGAGTTCTTATATGGAAACTTCTTTCAATATTGCTTATTTTTAATTCCGAATTTCAGCTATTTTTAAATTGTATTTCTACTTGGGCTCTCCTTTCCATTTCTAATTTCGGATTTATTTTTATTTTTATTCCGAATTTTAATTAATCTCGTATTAGGTTCTTATATAGACTCTTCTTTTAATATTGCTTATTTTTAATTCCGAATTTCAGCTATTTTTAAATTGTATTTCTACTTGGGCTCTCCTTTCCATTTCTAATTTCGGATTTATTTTTATTTTTATTCCGAATTTTAATTAATCTCGTATTAGGTTCTTATATGGACTCTTCTTTTAATATTTCTTATTTTTAATTCCGAATTTCAGCTATTTTTAAATTGAACTTCTACTTGGACTCTCCTTTTTCTTTTTTTTCTTTTTCTTCGATTAATGTGGGAATTTCTAGCCCCACAGCGAACGTGGTACCTACTTTCAAGACTGTTTTAATAATATAATAGATCCATGTTTAAAAAAAACTATAATGATTAATCAAGTCAGAACAAAATAAATGATAATTATATATAAGACGAATGGTAAAATATATCTTAAAAAGTTAACTATATCGTATATTAAAAAACGGAGAGAGTAATAATACTTTTTATTTTGCTAAAATTGATCCACATCTAGATTTTTATTTTTTGCGCAGAGCCATGTATCTAGACTTGAAATCTAGAAATAGCCGATTAAAAAAAAAGTGGTTGTCATATCCACCAATGGAATTGAGCTTGACTGCCTGAGTCAACAAGGCAAGGCATCATGAACCTGTCTATCGCTTTTCGCCAGCCAGCCAACGTTGGAAAGTTGAGATCTTTTCCAACCGAACAAACGAAACCATGAGAGTTTTCTTCTTGTTTCTCATGTTTGACTGGTGCCTGATACCCACGGCCACAGTGCACAGGTTACTTACTTCTAATTAACGCCCACGCCTGTGCTACTAATCATCTTTTTTAGTAAGTCCAAATCCATCTACAGTTGAGCAAGAGAGAGAGAGAGAGAGAGAGAGAGAGAGAGCTGTCTCTTTCCTTTGCATTCCCCACACAAAGAAGAACGAAGAAGAACAAGCAGCAGATCAATCGGTCCTCCTCTCCTCTCCAATACTAGTATACTACCACACTGGCTGGCTGGGCTGGCTGCTCCTCGTTTCTCCTACCTTTGGCCTGCCCATTAATGGCCCCTGGTATATTAACCTTCTCTTCTCTTCCTCCCTCCTAGACTCCTCCTGCTCTGCTTTGCTTCCCTTCCCTGTGCGCCCCGCCCCCACGAAAATCCACTTCTTTTCCTCACCTTGCCACTGTCGGTTCTTGCCTCTTTCTTTGAGGACTCGCCCGCCCAACAGAAGGAGGCAAAGGATGATCCAGTCTTGAATGACCAGTTCCGGAGGATCTGCGCAAGAAAGGTGCGATTTTTCCCCCTTCTTTCTCGCATCTTCTTTCATTCCCCCCTGAACCTCAAATAACACTTCCTCTAGATCTCCAACTGTTCCAGCAACTTAATTAATCCATGTATTGCCTATCTTAGCGGTTGCAAAATGCTTGGTGATTTCTGGCCTCCGTTGACAATCATTATTGATCCGTCAACTTAATCTAGATTAGTTTCTGTGGACTAATTGATCCCCCAAATATTTTTTTTTAAAAAAAATCTAGACCATATGCTACTGCTGTGGTGTTCCTCATTTGATCCACTTAATAATTTATCTTGCTGCTTATGTAGATTGCTGCGCCTAGCATGTAAGAAACACGACCATGGAGTTCCTTTAATCCAATCATTGGAGCAAGCTGCCAGGAAATGGATCAGTAACTCATGAATGACACGGGTGCCATTTTACCCAAGTGCATCTAGTTTCTATATTTGACCAGCTGCTCAAGAAACACCATTTCCATGGAAGCTCCTAAGCTTCGCTTCGTCAGATGCCCAGGATGCCTCCAGCTTCTTGTGGAGTATCCAACCATTGCTGTCTACCAATGTGGTGGCTGTGGTACTATTCTTAGAGGTAACAATCATTTAATCTTCCTTCAGTTTCCTCCTTACATATATTTCTGTTTCTCATGTACAGTATTGATGACTACTTGCATCTGTTGTGCAGCCAAAAATCAAGTTGCGCCAGCAGTGAATGCTAATGCAGAATCTGGTGAACACAATGAATTTTCAAATAATTCAACTGGGGGTTCTCAAAACAACAAATTGATCTGTACAGATGGGCAGAAAATTCCACCATCCTCCGATGCACAACCTGGTGTGCTGCAGGAGAAGATTACCTTTGCTAGCGAGGAAAAAACTATGTCTTCTAGCAATAGCATCGACTCCAGTGAGCATGTTAACATCGAGTGTTCCTTACTTGATGGGGATGCCAGCAATCATGATGTGAGGACTGAAGGCATAAATGATGAAGATAAAGTGACTGTGTCTAATTCAAGTCTTGATTCAGTGAGGAAAGTAGAGAATGTTGAAACCGATGGAAATGAAAAAGGTTCCTTTACGGATGATGGGAGCATCAGCAATGAAGTTGCTACCACCCAAAGCATGGTCCACATGGATGGAGCTGGTTCTGATAATAATTTTACAGAAGTACAGAGTGCAGCTGAGGGGAAGTGTGCACTTAGCGATGCTAATCTGGACTCACAAGAGATAGTTGCGATTTGCCAACCTGATAACATTTCTGTTGGCACAAAAGAAAGGGTTCAGCCATATGAAGGTTTTAATGTTGAATCACATGAAGATCTGATTGAAGAATTGGTGAGGTCTCTTTCACTCAGTGATGACGAAGAAGAGTTTGTCGATATAGCAGAAAACAGTGAACTTAATGATGCTTTATGTTCTCAAATGGGCAGCTGCAGATTTTCATTGGGGAGCAAAATGAATGAAGGCCCTCGAACTGATCCTCATGGCCGGTTGATTGAAGAATTAGAGATGTCTTTCAGTGATGCTGAAGAACCACTAGACCAAAATATTATGGTCTCCCTCAATGACATAGAAAAGCCTACTTTGGATGAGGTCAGTAAAGAAAATCACATTTTGGAGGAGGATGGTAAAGAAAGTCACATTTTGGACGTGGATGGTAAAGAAAGTCACATTTTGGACGTGGATGGTAAACAAAACCACATTTTGGACGAGCATGGTAAAGAAAACCACATTTTGAATGAGGATGATAAGGAAAACCTCATTTTGGATAAGGGTGGTGAGGACACTTTGGATGCAGGTGGTGCTAATTCATATGAAGAAAGAGTATTGCCATCGGATGACGGGCTTCTCAAATCTGGACAAAGTTTCCAACAATGTGAGCTGGTTGCTGTTAACATGGCAGAAAAGGATGAGGGGCATCTAGAAGAAACCAACATGGCTAACCATGCTGAAGCAAACAGTGGAATTGCTGCTGTTCTTTCAAATTTGTCAAACGATAAATTTTGTGCCATATTACCACCTAGCTGTGATGGGAGAAAAGAAGAAAAATCTAACATACATAGAGGTAGAGAACTCTGTCAAGGATTGTCACTTGATTCTGTAGACTTCCGATCAATCCAAAATTTTATCGAGTCTCAAATGGATGGGACCTCAAGTTCTCTTTCAAGTGGCTCTCCAAGTCATGGTGACCTGGAACATAATAGATCAAACAGATTCAAGAAAATTGATCGACTTGAGCGCCTGAGGAAGATGGATGATCTAAGAGATCAGTTAAATAGGCTTTCTAGCCAGAAAGGTTTGGAAAATAGGTACAAGAACAAAGGCCCTGGAGTCCTTCAGGAACAGATTAGCTACAGACACCTTGAACAACATCCTTGTGGTTTTGATGGTGATTCTATCCTGGATTCTGATATTATCGATTCCTATTATGATCAAGGAAATCCACCAAGGTACCCACCACCAGATCCGTTCTCCCCAACTCATTCGCACTATCATTGTGGACATGGGCAACCCCATATCCCATATAACTGCAGTGCATGGGAGTTTAATTCATATTATCAGTCCTCATATGCGGGAAGTACGGTTCTTGAACACGTATCACTTCGCTCAAGCTACAAGGAGCAGAAACGTGCAGTGAAGAAAAGCATTCTGCGGTCTCTGTCTGGTGCTTCCCCATTTACCATCTGCAATGGCTGTTTCAATTTGGTTCAAGTGCCATCAGACATCTATGTATCGAAAAAGAAGATCGCTAAGTTCCAGTGCGGTCGGTGCTCCAAGGCCCTTATGTTATCATTTCCTGCTACAAATAGTGATGATGCAAAGCTCAGTAATAAGGAAGTAAATCGAAAACCAAACAAGCCTGTCCACAATAGTGTTGTTGGTATGGAGGGTGGCTATTCTTTTTCTGCTGAATGCTCACGAGGGGATCCTGTGAGCATAAGTGAAGAATGTGGAGCTTCAATCTCAAGAAGCTTCTCTGGTAGAACTAGAGCAGCTGTTGCTGCATCAGGAAGTGGAAAAAAGGTGTCAGACTCGGCACTTCATCGGCTCATGGGGTATGATTCAGCAAGCCAGTTGTTACGGCGCAGCAGAGCGTTTGAGGATGGATATGACAGTTTTGAATCCATGGTGCCAGTATCAAACAGAGTATCCAGAAGAAAGAATTTGTAAGATACTTCTGTAGCCTTGATTCCTACCAAGCAGGATAGGAATGATCAGCAATTTTGTGATTATGTACAAGAAATGGACACCTTGCCTGCAACTGCAAGTTATTATATATTTTTTGTCTTTCAGAAGATTTTGGGATTTTAATTCTGAAGTTTTTGGTTAGCCATTCTTCAATCAAGGTACAGTAATTCTTTATTCTTGTTGTAAAGTTGTGTATATATTTGGTGGGATAAAATTGTATAACAGTTATTCATGCCAGATGTTTGTTAATACGTGGTGTTTCTTTACTTTGTAATTTTGTATACATTGGAGGCATTTGCACACACCAAATAGAGCGGCACAATGAGTGCTTATGATGTTTTGTGTGAGTAAGTTGGACAGCACAAGAAGACAACAACTCTGAATGTAACCATTATTTGTTAGGTGTAACGGACCATGTGGTTTGTCTTTGCATGACAGCATGAGACTATGAGATGCATCTTTTGCTGTCGCTCATCATTGTAAATGGAGATGGATGCTACATACTGGACCAGATTTTTCTATGTGATTGTGCGGGGTTAGGCATGCTGTTGACAGCAAAACAGTCAGGCATTCCTGGTGGTTTCCGTCGGCATTGCATACTGGTAACATATACTTTGCTGGGAAATGTTTGTCTCGCCTCTCTTACACTTAGTTTAGCTGCCTAATTCCATTGCCGGTGCAGCGGCGAGAGCGGATGATCGACGGAAAATTAGGCTTCCAAGTTTTGGTTTAAATTTTCTATACAAAATTTCTCATCCCATAAAAAGGTTTTGCTATTAGTGCTCAAGAAACAATCAATCAGCATTATTTTCAGGGAAATATAATTGGCTGTACTATAGTGCTGATATGTGGGCGTCCCAGTAATGATTTAGGTTGCGCAAGTGTCTAGTCTAGTGGGCCGAGATAAGCTGGGGATGAAATTCCTTAAAGCAGATCAGGCCCAATTAGGGGCTGTTTGAACTAAATTTTTATTAGTCCCTCCAATTCAAACAGGGCCTTAGTCTCATACATAGCGAACGTGCCAATGAGAAAGATGCATGCCCATAGATTAGAACTTCAGCAGAGGCCGAGGGGAAAGGAAGAAGAGGCTGAATTATGAGCCTAGAAATGTTTGGGCCAGCTGACTTAGATTGCATAAAATCAATAACTAGCGGATAAAGTCCATTTACGTCCCTCAACTTAGCGAGTTCGATTCACATCCTCAATCACAAAACCAGATATGTTGTCTCATTTAACTATCAAAACCGGTTCAATTTGATCCACTAAGCGGTTTTGGCCTACATGGCAATTCAATCAGAGAAAAAAAATAAAAATAAAATGGATACGTGGCACATACGTGATACTACTATCAAGAAAAAAAATAAAAACAAATAATGAGACCCACATGTAAGTGACCAACTCATGTTATTCCTCCACCTCCTCCTCTCTCTCTTCTGTCTTTCTCTCCTACGGACCTACTTGATCTCTTTCTTGGCGGCGAATACGAAGGAGCTCGAAGGTAGCATGGGAGTGGCGGCATGTGCCGCTCCTCCTCCCTCCCATCTTAGCCTACTTCTCTCCATCTCTCTCGCGTGGCTAGGGCTTCTCCTCCTCCTATTGATGCCTCCCTAGTCCCTTCCCATGGACAGACAGAGTAGTGGCCACCACCTCCTCCTGTCGGGCAAGAGAAAATGTTCGTAAGTGGTTGCGACGCTTCTGGCTCCACCCTGACCTATGGCCTCTTCCTCAATCGAGCACGGCAATGCGGGAGGTGCTACAGATCTAAGGAGGAGTTAGGTTGACAAGGTGGCAAGCCCGAAGTCGATGTCGACTAAAGGAGGGTAGCACCATAGCAACCCAACCCAGTCGCCATCGCAGGCACCAGGCTGTACTCCCACCTCGTGCACCTCCTATTCAGTACAATCAGGCGGGAGTTATTGATGGAGTCCCTCTCATTCAAGCGCATGGGGTATCTCGTCGTCGTCCTCTTCATGCATGAACGTCACGACCCTCTCTCTCTCTCTATCTCTCCTCCAGGAGAGAGATGGAGAGGGGTGGGCCTCTCTGTCTCTAGATCGGTGGTCCCTCCTCTGTGTTGTCCATGGAGACTGTCGTTGTCCACCCACATGATTCTATGCCTTACCGGTGTCGGCTACTCTGCCATAGCCATAAGCCATCTCTATTGCCGACTCCATCTTGTCCCTAGCTCCTCTGGATAGTCGGAGAGGGAGCATCCAAGTCACCAAGGCTGCAGCTGCAACAACTTGTGCTCATAGCATGTTGGTCTTCCATGCTCAGCCGGCTACAAGCCTGATGGTAGTACCACATAAGTGCCACGTATGCAATTATTTTTTCGGACTAAATTACTACGTAGGACAAAACTAATGTCCAATCCGCTCAGTGAGTCAAATGTCTGATTTTATTATTGAGGAATGTGAATTAAACTCTGGTTATAGTTGAGGGACGAAACATAGACCTTTTCCATAACAAGTTGACAAGGCTAGAATCCAACGGTTGCCTTGCCCATTGCCACACTTGGGCAGTGCCTCCTGTGTGGTGTACTGCTGTGTTGGTTCACTTGGCGTGCTACTATTCCTTCGGAAAGCATGAATTTTACAGGATATTCATGGTACACAATTCATTTTCTCTAAAATTTCGGTGAAATGCCTCTATTTCAAAGTAGCCCTTAGTTTTTTTGGACCTAGTTGGGTTTTGTCACTTGTTAAATCTAGCTCGTTGAGTTTGCGATATTTGTGATATCTGGTTCTTTTGTTATTAAAATGGGTAACCAAACTTTATCTTGTACATGGACCTGTTATTCGTTTTAAAAAGCACCCAATCTCTCCCCTATTTTTTTTAAGAATAAAAAAGACATTATCATGTATTCATGTGTGAAGAAGCTTTGGAATATATAATGTGGAATTCATTGCTTTCAATCGCTATTCATCGATACGGATTGGCCTGAATGAAGTTACAATATGTTCTAGATGCACACATCATGCATTCGTAGGACTCCTATGTAACAAAGGATATTTGAGTAATATCTTAAAAAACTAAACCAACTTCTATAAAAATGCAGTAAAATTCTTACGGTCCAAATAACCATGTAGAGCTAGCGTCACACACACAGGGGATGGGATTGATTGATTTACTTTCTCCTGGTCCTCACCTGAGTACATGTCAATCTAAACCTACATAGTACGTGTGAATCACATTGTTTGACCGATAGAGAGTGATATAGACCGGTTAGCTGACCATGAATATCACATAACATACTATTCTTCATAAATTATTTTCAGAATCTTCTAGTATTGTCTTCCTTAATTACTAACCATACAGTGTCATCCCAAATATCTATCGGATACATTTTTTTGTCCGTTTGAAACACATGATTAAGAAAACGGAGTAGAATTTTGATACGGATACAAGTATAAATAAGAAGATTGAAAAAAGTATATAAAAAATATAAGAGTGACCATTTAATTGGACCGTAGAAAAAAGCACAGTAATTTGAGGAGAGATAAAGATTTAAACTAAACTTTCCATGTGGTTAAAATTGTTATATGGCAATTTTTTATGAGAGCATCATGCTAAATTTCCTCTAAAATTTGAATGGAGCGAAGTATTTTATAAGAATTTCATAGGATTCCATAGTGTCCATTTCTTTAATTTAAAGGGTTATATAGGGAAAAAAACCCTCTACAATTCTTATGATTTTCCCATAAAAAATGCCTTAAAGATTAGTTACATATCCTTGTGATGACATCTTGGCATTGACACATATGCACGCACACAGTAACAAATCAGCCACAGATTCAGTACACAAAAAGAAAAAAGGAATATGAATCACCTATATTTGGATTTTTATAGGGTAAATTTTAGAGAACTGTAAATGTAGTGATTTATTTTTTTTATGGTTCTCTAAAAAAATATTTAGAAGGGGTGAGGCTTTGAACCCAGGTCGTCTAGCCCACCACTTTGTGGAGCTAGCTAGAAGACCCCTAAGCGTTTCTCTAATCACTACATTTAGGTCATTCCCTAATATTCGTGTTTTAAATGTAATGATTAAACTATCAACTTGCTACAATATTTGTTTCAGTTTGCTACAATGATAGCAGAAAAAATTATCTTAAAACTACAGCTTCATGAACACCCTACTGTCACTGATATGTGATACCCATATGTCATAGAGATACATGTTATCTATTAATTAGTAAGTATATGTCCAGACAAAATTAGAGATATAACAATTTTTATAATAAAATTAGATATGACAATTTTTTTACCGATCAATATACAACTATAATATTAGAGGTGGATTTTCTATTTGATTGTACTATTTATTAGTATAATTAGGTACACCAGCATTAAATGGTCTTTTTAATATCACAAGACCATATAAGGTGTGTAGTATGGTCTGTGGACGGTGTGTAGTATGGACGGAAGTCTTGACCGGGCTCTACATTGACGGCCAATTGGCAGACGACAATGGCATGCTTGTGCACACCTGTCTGTCCATCTGTTATCCGCCATAATGTAGGAGCTGGTACCTGTAAGAACGACTTGTTAGTTGACTCCAAAGACCCAAGACTAGCTTGCTTGCTTATTACTCCCTGCACTCACTGAAAGAGAGACTTTAATTAGTCTTCTTGGATGCTAATTGTTTTCTGAAAGATCATGTATGTTAATTGTTGATCATGTACGTATTTTCGAACGGTTAAGTCGTTACCAATATTTTATATAAAGAAAATTGTATCCTATTTGAAGAAGAAAACGGAACCAAACCTTACAGCGTACAATTAAATAGAAAAACTAAGCGAAAACCACAATTACAACAAACTCTCCAACTAGCCTAAACAACCATGGCACAAAAGGACAGCCAAATACAACACTCAACAAACTTATTTGGCGTTATAAATATCGCTACTATAAAGTAAAATTAAAATATCTTATAAATATGGCATGGAGGGAGTACTATTAGTAGTTTCTGTTAGAGTGCGCAGCCCGGGCCACCAACCGTGAGCCACCCAGGTCACATTGGGCCTGCTCTACCACAGACTCAACCGGAGCTACAACTTTAGGTCTTGGGCCTACACAACCCAAAAGAATAATCTGATGGGTGAGGACCGTCCCTACCTTTTAAGTCGTGCTCCCCCATCATTAATTACCGATGTGGCACTAAACCCAACAGTTTCTTAATTATATATACTTACAATTATATGATATTTGCATGTTACATGTTCAGAGCAGATCATACATACAACTTCTATTCACAAAAAGTTATTGGTGTTCGACAACTATACATTGTTTCCTATTTACCTTATCAGCCACAGTTAGAATTTAAAACTTGATTTTGATGTTTTTTTTCATCGCAATTTATTTTTCAATATTACTTTTTTCATGTTAGTAAGAATACACATATATATATACATATACATGTGTATATATATATATATGTGTGTGTGTGTGTAAAACTTTTACTCATATTTTTTTATTACTAATAAGCTAAGTGTGGAGTACCGTTTATAATCAGTTATAGGTGAAATGTGACTTCGAGTTTTGAATATAAGCAGTTATTATCGGCATGACGAAATATCATGTGAGCAGTGGGCATGCATACATGCCTTCCATTGTGCAGTTCCCTTGAAGAAAAGGACGAGAGAAAAGAATAGAGATAATACCTTATATGCCACTGAAAATTGGCTTTTCTCTTATATGCCATTGGTCCAAATTTGCATACCCTCTCATGTCACTACCGTCGGTTGACTATGTGTTGACCGTTAACTCTCAAGTAAAAAAGACATATTTGTCCTCTCTGAGTTGTTAGGCATGCCTTATACTAATAAGGGTAAATACGTCTTTTTTCCTTGAGAATTAACGGTCAATACACGGTCAACTGACGGGAGTGGCATGAGAGAGTGTGTAAATTTGGATCAATGGTATATAAGAGAAGAGCCAATTTTTAATGGCATATAAGGGCAACCACAATGTATGAAAAAGGTGACCTTAAGGCAATGATTGCACTTATAAAGTGAGTCATATACATTGTGGAAAGTAGCATTAGCTTAGGGTGCACATTATGCTTAAGTTCTACTACAAGCAAAAAGAAAATATTTTTTCTCTCTCATTCACTTCATGAACAAGAGATGAAACAATTATTTTTTCATTCTATGTGGGCCATCTTGTGGCTAAATTCTAACCATAGCATTGTGGGTATGACTATAACAATGGCTCACTATTCATAGGGCCCACCTTAAGATTACATTACACCACAAACATTGAGGATGCCTTAAGGGATCAGACCAATTTTGAGTGGCATATAAGGGATGCTCTCGAACAAATATATGTGATAGAGAAGTTAGCTTATTAGCTATAGCTAGCATGAATATGCAGCTGCCTGCCTGCAGCCACGTGAGGAACGACGACAGCTACAGTACCACTCCCACTCAGATGCAGTATATATACCACAAGCACCAAACCCAACGCTAGCTAGCTAGAATCCAACCAAAATATATCTAGCCAAAGCAAATCAACCAGCGCTTATTCGATCCGATCGATCTCCATTAATTATCCAACGACGACACGACGACGCAGCGGCAGCGATCGATCGATGGAGGAGGCCTACTGCATGATGATGGTGGGGAGGGAGAGGGAGCTCGTGGCTGAGCTGCGTCACCTCCTCTTCCCTTCTCCGTCTCCCACTCCGACCACCCCTGCGAGCCACTCTACTACGGCGCTCGCCGGCGACGGCGAGTGCTGCTTGCCGCCAGGGCTGACAACGACGACGACGGTGTCCGGTGGAGGACGGCGGCGGGGGAGGAAGAGAGTCAACCGCGACAATGATAATGTCAAGCTGCTTCTGCAGGCAGATGATGATCAGGAGGCCGTAATAGCTGATCATGGCGATGCAAATGCCAAGCCTCTTCCTAATTTCACCAAAACAAGGTACTAATTAATATATCCATGCATCAATCTTAATTAATTTCTAGGTGTCGATCAAGAACACTGAACACTGAACACCGCACCTGCTTTCTTTTTTGTTATTTCTGAAAGCAAATATAATCAATATAATGCACGGTTTGGTTCATCATCAATTTAGCAATTTTGATTACACCTAGTTATGTATATGCAGAAGGAGGAAGCAGCAGGCGACGACATCAACGATGGTAACGACGGTGCCAGATTTCGATGGGTATCAATGGAGGAAGTATGGTCAGAAGCAAATTGAAGGTGCCTTGTACCCCAGGTACCATATCATTTCCATATTTACATATGCGTATTGTCACTACTGCTACATCAGTGTCATAAATCATTATCTAAAAAAAACATCAGTGTCATAAATCACTAATGTTATGTTTGAGACAAATTACTTCGTGTGGTCTGTGATCAACTTAATTTAGTGTCATTTCTAATCATCGTTGTACTCCCTCCGTACTCATAAAGGAAGTCGTTTAGGACAGCGACACGGTCTCCAAAACACAACTTTGACTTTTTGTTTCTATAAAAATATTTATTGAAAAGTGATATATGTATACTTTTATGAAAGTATTTTTCAAGACAAATCTATTCATATAATTTTTATATTTTTAAATTCAACAACTTGAGAGTTATTCATGATTTATATTCTCTAGATTTGATTTAAACATTGTCCTAAACGACTTCCTTTATAAGTATGGAGGGATTATAGTAGTAGTACTACTTTAAATGTTGGTTATACTTAGTTGTTTTGCCGTTCGATGGACTTGCAAGCATGCTCTGAGATGGAATCAATGTTATAAAATCAAGAAACTGCAGCCTTCAAACTCTCCCTATGCAAGAAATGAGATCTTCTATCTCAAAATAAGACAAGGGATCAGAAATTAAGCTCTTTTGGGCCATGTTTAGATTCCAACTTTTTTATTTAAACTTTCAACTTTTTCGTCACATCGAACTTTTCTACACACAAACTTTTAATTTTTCGGTCACATCGTTCAAATTTAAACTTCCAACTTTTCAGTCACATCGTTCAAATTTCTTCAAACTTCCAATTTTATTGTAGAACTAAACATAGCCTTTGGTTATGACGTGGCATGCGCAGACAATCGATCAGTCCGTTCACTCGGATACGCGTAACATGCATGCAACCTTTGTGAATTGGACGTACAATACGTGTAGTGCCCACAAGCCCATTACTAGCTAGGTGAATGATTAACTGCGCGCATCGTGGCGTGATACACGTTGTTGGAGTATGTTACAACATATCATAGGTGATTGATTCCATTAGAATTAATTATCCCAGCTAATTATCCACATATATAATTTACCTGAAAAACGGAAGTAAAAATGCAAGATCATATAATTAGCTAGGCTTGCAAGTTTGTAATGATATACGGATGTGCGACTAATTACTGACTGTAACATGGATGGATGGACGCATGCAGGAGCTACTACCGGTGCACCAACAGCACAAACCAGGGCTGCCTCGCCAAGAAGACGGTGCAGCGCAATGGCGGCGGCGGAGCAGCAGGGTACACGGTGGCCTACATCTCAGAGCATACTTGCAAGTCCATCGAACCATCCCTGCCTCCAGTCATCCTCGACACCACCGTCCGTACTACCAACAACCACCAGCAGCCTGCAGCTGCTGAATCACCGGCGGCGACATCGTCGTCGTCGTCGAATATGGTCATGACGAGTAGCGAGACTGGTAATTGGAGCGGTCAGCACGGCGCCTACGCATGCCGACAGATGATCGCCGCCGATGAAGAGTACTGCTGCTGGGACACTCCGGCGACGACGACGACCACCTCTGGCTCTAATGGTGGTAACAGTACTTGTGCTGAGGATATAGAATTATTGAGCAGGCCGATCAGGTCGCCGATGCACATCGCGGCGGAAGGGAATTGGATGGACGATTTGCTCCTTGTTACTGACGGCCTTATCGTTATATCCAACTCCAGCATCACCCATTTCCTCACTTAATTTCTAGATGCACATCTCTCTGCTATCTCTGCTATATGTATAAGATGTTGCTTATGAATTTTGCATGATGGGCCAACTCTTTTTTCTTTGTTTTGAAAATGATTAGAAATCCGACCTCTACATCTAACTTGGATGTACACAGCCCGAACAAACCGTGTCTAGAAATAAACTTACACCTTACACTATTTTCACACCAACACTCGATCATAAAGAGCTCCAAGACTCAAACAGCTAATTAATTAACAAACATAACAAGAGAATTGAAGGTAAACATCGAAGAGCATTCAACAGGTAAAACTAAACCTGCAGCATCTTCCTCAAGTTCCATCCAATTCTTGAGAAGAAAACAATTACTATCCTTCATTTTAAGCAACAGTCATCACTAACGAGTCCAGTGTGTCCCTCTAAAAATTACCCTAAAAAAGAGTTAGCTCTTGAAGCATTCAAAACTTAATTATTCCTACGAAATTGAACCACCGAACATAAAACTACCACCCAGAGAAGATTGGCATTTTAATTTAGATGTAAACCACTTAACCAACTACATTATAGATTGATGGGCGAACTCATATATACACATGAATTTGCACTCTAACAAGTAATTGTGTTTTGAAGCCCGTCCATTAGCCCAACTAAAACTCTATATCAAGATACACGGAGTAAACTAAATTATGTGTTTAGATGGTGGAAAAGTGGGAAGTTGGGAGAAAGTTGATAGTTTGAAGAAAAAATTGGTAGTTTATATATGTAGGAAAGTTTTCGATGTGATGGATGTGATGAAAAGTTGAGAATTTGGGAACTAAACATGGCCTAATTGTGAAGGATTAAATGCGGCCGGGCTGAAATACAGATCGATCGAAACAAAAGCAGCTGCAAGTCAAACAGCGTATGCATGCCTGTCAATATAGCGGTCACTGTCACACACGAGCAGCACGATTTTGCCCATTACATCACCACCCATTACGTCACCTTGCTGTCGATTGCAGCTTCCTTGTCACAGCAGAATTAATTGTCTTGTCCCCTCTGTTTGGAAATCTTGGGATGTGAACTATCCTATAACGATGAAAGCAGTGAAACCATATACAGGCCGAGTTTAGATCTAAAATTTTTTTTTAAACTTTCAACTTTTCTATCACATCAAAACTTTTCTACACACATAAATTTTTAACTTTTCCATCACATCGTTCTAATTTTAACCAAACTTTCAATTTTGGCATGAACGAAACACACCCATAGATAATAATATTTTGAGACAAATTTAAATGTAGTAGTTTTAATCTTACACTGAATACATTTAATCTTAGTACCATTTCACTTGTTCATGTACTCTACAGTCGGCTAGCTAGCCATGCGTATGCATCAATTGCATCAGTCGTACGCCCTCGGCCCACTGATTAATTAATATGCGTGTGGACCCGCCAGATTCTCGATCGTATGTTCCCTCCCTGAGTGGTCTAATAATTGAACTACACGATCTACACATGTACACACAGCTCACATATATTGTACTCCTATCTATCTATCTACTTACTGCGTTTGTGCCTCTATGGGTTTTCTTCAAACATCAACAACATTCACATCATATATATCTAATTCAAATCAATTAGAACTTCTTTTTCATAAACGTGTAAAAGCTTTACATGTCAATATATTAGAAAAAGAGTAGCATACATCGATAACACAGCTAGTCGGTTAAGGCCGGGGGTAGGAGGGTACAACGTGACACTAATTAAAAAGCTGGCTAAACTAAGTGCGACTCCTAAGAGATAGGTGAGAGAAACAAAACAAAGCTAAGCTAAACTAAGCTATGTGTCTAACGGCCTGTTACCTCCCAACAAGATTGACCATTGCCTCAACCAACACTAAATTAATTATTACTACTGGCTAGCTAGAATATATAGATATCCGCGTCACAATTTTTTCACAAACACGCAAAAGGATTATATGTCAATATATTAGAAGAAAGCAGATTTTAAGTTACACGACGCAACCGGCCAGGTAGCCATTAAAAAAGAAAAGGACACAAGAAAAATAAGACTGCTAGCTAGGTTATTCTTCTGACAATTTGGTTTGATTTAGAACAAACATACATCCTATTTTGTTTGTTCCAACATACTGGTATGCGCATGTAAGTATTCAAGATTGTTGCACCTGTCGTTGTCTTTGACTTCTGGTTGAATCAACTCTTGGCTGTACCTTCTATTTGTTTTTTTTAGAACAGCACATACCTTCTTCTTTGACCCAGCAAATGTACACGTAGAACATACTCTCTCTTATTCATAACTTATTCATATTATAAGTCGTTTTAAATTTTTTCTTAGTCATTTTTTTATTATTAACCAAATTATATAAAAGCATAAAAATTAATATCAAACAAATATACTATTAAAATATATTTACATTTAGTTTTAATGAAGCTAATTTGATATGATAAGAGTTATTACATTTCTCTAAAAACTTGGTCAAAATTACATGAGTTTGGTTTAGAAAAAAGTTAAAGCGACTTATAATATGAAACGGAGGGAGTACTTGTTAGTACATGTTTAATTTGTGTCAGATTAATGTCTTCCTTGTTTAGGGTTTGATTAGAGAGTAATATATATACTTGCATATATTTGACCATCAAATTCCTTCTCTTAACATAACTAGCAAAATGCCAATGCTTTGCTGTGACAAAAAGAATAAAATATCATAATATGTCACAACAAAATATATTTGTATATCAAATATCACAGTATAACTTGTTTGCTTATTTGATTATCTGTTATTCACTTATTTGAATCAAATATTGGACTATTTGATAATATTAAAAAAAATCAATGGACAATTTGTAAAATTTACAAAAGCAATAATGGAGTGACGGATTTACTATCACCATCACTATAGGTTTTTAGAGGAGTATAGAAATGCCTTTTCTTTCGATCAAGTACCAGATTTTTTTGATTTTTCAAGATTAAAGTCTAATTAGCTCACGCAAAAAGAAAGTCTAATTAGCGGACTTTGAGAATGCTAACTTGTGTTCTCCTCCTGTCGCAGGTTTTTTTTTTTTTTTGCCTTTTTGTCCTTGTGAGAGTGTTTGCATGTTTGGAGGTCGGAAAACCCCTATTAGTCGGTTTTTGTTCAACCGAAGCTGAAAAAGAAATATGGGTAGCTGAAAAATAAATAGTGGTGAGATCAAATATAGAGCCGCTAAAAGTGATGTACATGTTCTGAGGCCCTAATTACTGTTTCTCAATTAAATGCTACTGGACCGTAAATAATTAGGGGGCTACCTAGGGTCTGTGAATTAATTTACCATGCATACCACTATACCAGCATGTCTAGGTAACGAGATTGTGGTGACGTCAGCTTGATTCAGTGGGCATGACAGCATGAACATATCGATGGGCAGACTGCGCAAGCTTTACCATTTAAAACTTAAAAAGTGCAGTGTACTCATCTTAAATTTTAATTACCACCAGCCCAATTAATCCTGAAAACTTACTCCCATCCTACATAGACAACTATGTAGTACAATGTGTGGAGTGGAGTTGAATATACAACTGTAGAATTCACTAGTAGCTAGTATAGTTCTAGTAGAGAATTAATAGTAGTAATAGTTTAGGTGCAATCTATATATATACCACACGGTTGGAGTATAATCTGCGTAGCGATTCATGACAAATTAGTGGTCTAAAACTGAACCGCGTAAAAAGCTCAGGTGATTAATTAGAACTTGGTGTTGAACGTACTACCTGATGATCTATCAAGCTAGCACTAAGGAAGAAACTGAGTCCATGCATATATATGAGCTCCATTCAGCATGCGTGTGGTATAGGAGTTTAATTTAGTTTTTATGCGTCACACTGAAAGATGCATGAAGGTTCTTCTTCTCCTATATATGTATATTAATTAATCTAGCTAGAGAGAAAGAGAGAACTAGTGGTTGCAACTTGCAAATTAGTCTAAGTCCAACTTATTCTACTGATAGTCCAATAAGCATGTGCTACATGCATCATATCAATCCATGAGATCTATTGATCTTCCCCTGCAATTGCCTTAGCCGATTATATTAGGATACAAGTTGTCTTAGCTGAGGTTAAGTGTAGGGCCATATTGAACAGCACTGTATACACCATCATCGCGTGTATATATAGCCACATTAAAGTAGGCACCAATCAAGTACACACTTCTGACAAACCTGGTTAACCACACTGCCACAAAGCCAGGTGATCGTCTCCCTTAATTAGCTTCCACTAATCTTTCCACAACTATCTAGCACCGATTAAGAACAGCAGCTATCTTAATCAGGGAGCTTGAGATCTTAATTAGGAAATAAGGAGATCATGAAGAACAGCAGCAACAAGAGGTCACTAGTTGCTGATCAATGGCATCCTTCTTCTGTTTGCTGCGACCACCGGGCGGCGTTGAGGGAGATAGCCAAGGGGCAGTCTCTGGTGACGCAGCTCCGGGCCATCGTGTTGCCGGCGCTTCACTCCGACGAGCGATGCGACCTCGCTGCTCAGATGTTGGAGGGCATCCTCGACTGCTCGAGGAAGGCCGTCTCTCAGCTGCAGCTTCTGCTCTCTTCTCCACATGATGATGATGATCATCATCATGTTGATGACAAAAGGAGAGTTAGGAAGATCATTTCCTCTTCTGATGATGATGATCACTGCAGCAGCAAGGCAGCTGAGGATGACAACGCCAAGCCTCTTCGCCAACACAAGAGAAGGTACAAATTATATCTACTTCTGTAAATAAATTTCATTTCTCATGTTTTTCAGTCCTCTGGTTTCACAAACATTTGAATTCATCAACGATTTCTGTTCTTGGTTTTACTGATTGTATCATCTCCAATCAATTACAAACAACAGGAGGTTTGGTGATTCGGTGTCGCTTGAAACTCCAGTGCCACACTACGATGGCCACCAATGGAGGAAATACGGGCAGAAGCACATCAACAACTCCAAACACCCAAGGTATGTAATCAGACATTCATGAATTAATAGTTTCATTCAATTAATTACACCCTTGATTAATCGTGTTATCAAGATCTAATCAGTATAAACACCAACTAATATATATATATATATCTGCATCAATCTGAATTGAGCAGGAGCTACTACAGATGCACCTACAGGCAGGAAGAGAAGTGCAAGGCAACAAAGACGGTGCAGCAGCGAGAAGACCTGCACCACGCCAACAGCTACAATGGCGATCACCCCATCATGTACACGGTTGTCTACTACGGCCAGCATACCTGCTGCAAGGGCCCTGCGGCATTAGCTGATGATCATGTCGTCGTCGAAGCATCACAGATTAGCACCGACAGCCATTGCCAGAGTCCGAGCAGCAGCAGCGATCTGCAGGCTGCGGAAGTACACGCCGGTAACAGCAGCCAGTGCAGCAACATCTCCGTCACATGTTCACCATCAGTCGTCGTTGAGGATTGCAATAAGCTTCTTGACATGATGCCAGCTGCTGATGAACTGACCGCTGATGTCTTGTTGTTCGACATGACTGCATATGCACCTTTAGATTTGGATATCAACTGGGAAATGGATACAAATGCTCTGTGGGTTTGAAAAGGTTTTGTAATTAAACTGATCTATCTGTAACACGTCAACAAACGAGTTAAATTTATCTATACCCTTTTGCAAGTACTGAAAATTATTTCTTCGTGGCCGGTTTGATCAGCGTACTGGATACACAACACAAATAAGTTTTGCTTTCCTTCAGAGAGCAGTATTAATCAACCGAAATAAAAGATCTAGATTAAAAAAAACTATATATATCAGCTTAATTCAATTGAAGTGTCTTTATCTCTTGGAATAGTCAGAGTGCATCGGATGCTGCCTGCTCCAGATCGATCTACTGCTTATCTTCTTCAGGCATGCATAAATTAATCGTGCTCTGTTTATAGGACGCTACAACAATACCTTATTTGGGAAATCATATGATTAGAGTACCATGCATTAGGTGCGCACTTAACAGCAAGCAACAACTACCAGTAGCTAACAGCTCTAGCTGCTGCTAGCAGATCAGCACTATGTACTAATTAATTATTGTACAATGACGTATATGCGATTAAATAAGCAGGGGACCTGACCCACAGCCGCCACAGGTTTGTCGCACATGCACTTTAATACCATGAATCTATATCCATTGCTATATATTGTAGTTAAACATGCAAATCTCTGTACAAAAATATATGCACTTGCAGAATTGAAGGTGCAGCTACAGATTATATTAGCTACCTGGCCATGTCCGGACATGACGCCCACATCTACTTACGTTGTACATAATGCCCTATATAATTTATTCAAGTATGCAAATTGGATTTTGTGATGGGGAGATTTTATCCGCTATAAATAGTTAGCACCAATCTCATTAGATTACGAGGTGCTTTCTATTGATGGAACAGTTAGTTTACTAATTCACCTGCGATTTCACCAAACGCCTGACAGGATCTAAGAGAGACAATGACTGCGTTTATTGTATATCCATTTGGATTACTGCATATGCTCCTTCAGCCAACAAATATAATGGAGTAGGCAGTAAGCAAAAGTGAGTATCGTATTACATACATCCCGTCCATATGTTTCTAGTATTATTCGTACCTTTATTTGGACACCCAGAAATATTAATGAATATATGCACTGATGACGATATATGTGTACTCCATTATTCCGCTGCTACAGTAGTAGAGGTTGAGTGTGTCGTAGACTTGTAGCATATCATTTAGAATATTGGTTCAGTTTTTTAATTTCGTCTAGCCATATGAAATATGAACATTGTTAGGCTATCTAGCTTCAGTATGAATTTTGTGATGATGACGGATTTGTACCTAGCACTCTTTGTTGAATCCGTTTTTCAAGAAGTCACACTGAATCACATGTGTGGTGTGTACGTGCACCTGCGCCAACCTTGTAGGCACAAAGAGAAGCTTCAGTAAGCACATTGTAAGTGTACTACTGCACATGCTTATGAGACTAGACACCAGTTAAGCCTGTAGCTAGTAGGGAGATGGAAAATATCTATGTGGGACCTGCTAGAAATATCAGTGAAAAGTGAAAACATTGCTATGCCAGTGGAAACAACCACGGAAAAAAGGGCATTACTCGTACAGTTTGAGAACTTCACGGTAAAAATAAACTTTTTCTTTGTCCAGTGCAGAAAATATACCCCAAGCAGAATTTGTGAGGTACTAGAAGTTGATGTTTTTGTCTTCCAAAAATTAAAGTATATTCATAGTTATAGGTGTATAAGAACTTAACAAAAAGGCATCCAAATGTTACCTCGTTTCAGGACATCACCAAAAGAACGAGATGTTTCACGCACATCTCATTTATTTTTAAAGTTGATCCATCTATCCATCCTTGTCGCCTCGTCGTCAGTAGTTTTCTTTTCAAATCAGCTCCATTATGGTTTTACCTGTCAAGTTGATGGCAAAACATTAGATATAAAACATGGTGAGATCATAAATACCGTAATGATTTCATCGCCTGACATATTACTGCAAGAGCATTAGGAGAAAGTTCAATATTTGGCTCATCCACTGGACCCATCAACTAAACCTAACAATTAATATATAGGTAATATTTAGATTCTGATGGCAATTCAATGGACCCCGGTTGGGCATTGATCATACTATCGTAGGGGGAAAATATGAATTGTCAAATTGGATTGAGGATTGAGGATTTCGGGCATGTGGCTTACGCAAGGCAGCGCCACCATGTCTATGTTAGTACTATAGTAGTGTCTGAATTCCTTGGGCCAATTCCCTTTTTCTTTTGAGAGCTAGGGGCTGCTTTCAATCTGGGGGTATGCAGGAAATATCTAGCCCAAAACTGTAGATATATGACCCTTGGACTGGTTTGGTTGCAACCGTGAATTATCTCTACCCTTAACCTTGTCCAATTTTATTGACAGCTCCTCTACCGCTCTGAGCCCCTGGACATAAGATCATGTATTACATAATGTTTATAACTCCTGAGAAAATTTAATTCTATCGTTGATAGGAGATCGATTCTAACACACAAATCACAACTACAACATGGTGAGCAATTTTCTTTTCTAAACATCACGACTGTACCATTGATATTGACGTTTCAGTTGAATTGTCAAGCTAGAATTCAGATTTCAGAAGCTAAAGGGGAAACGAACATGCCGAACCTTAGGTGGACAGAACGAAGCAGCAGCAGAATGGCTTGACTGTGTACGTCGTTGCCAACTGGCTGCTCAGAACACAACAGCGAACTAAAAACGACACAGTACTGGAGTACATCCATCCGAGCTGCTGTCAAAATGAACAGAAGGGCTGTATTCCTTCTTGACTCGCACGGTCACGCCGTGTTTTCGATGGAGTAAAACATCCCAGTTACTACATTCAAAGAAGCAAAAGATATTGTTACTATAATTTATTACAAGTTCCATACAAGAAGAATAGCAAAAAGATAAAGCCATAGCTGGATTGAATTTCCCCTTTTATCTTTTTTCCCCCTTAGATGGTTGGCTTGGACAGATATTACGAGAAGATCTACCATTGCTCTATAGCTTGATTAAAGTTAATATTGGCACAATTAATCAAGGCTAATATGCACGTTTGCTCGACAAGATTAATCCAACAGATTCACTAAGCTAGTAATAATCCACTCGATCCAGAGTACCAGATAGGTGTTTTAATTGGAAACAAGAAACATGCTTGAGTTAAACTAAAAATTAACCTGCCGGCCAGCCGATTGGAACAATTGATTGCGTTCCATTGGAGTCAAAGCAAGCATGTCCCTATTCAGGGACCAGTAACGAGGGACAATTTGTGGTCTCCATATATCTTCTCTCTACAACCACCAGAAAACCAGAGCAATTTTTTGCATCCACATATGATGTGGAATGAAGCAGCTGCTCGCACATTTATATTATGGTAACTAGGTCTGTCAGCCAACAATCACAGGAATCATTCCTAGCCACAAGTGACCCCATCCATATCCTCCTGATCATCAAGTACAAACAGAAACGTTTTTCACCTATCAGTTATGGTTGGATGTTGTAATTTCATACACAGATATTTTTTTAATGATATGCTCAGGTTATTGATAAATCGCTTTTTTTCTTGGGCTGGGTCTGCTGGGATTTATGTTTACAATTGTTTATATACACCTCTTCACAGTGATAATATGATAAATACTCCATAGAAGAAAAGATAATATACATGCAATCTCAATGGGATTATAGTCACCCAATATACAAAACAAATTTTCTTTGTTCCGGAAAAGGGAAATTTGTTTGTTCCTCTACTCGATTACGATGTTCCTGGAGTAAATTTCTCCAAACTTCTTTTAGGATGAAGTTCTGAGCAAAAACTTAACCTTTTAGGTACTTTCACTAATAAAAGAAAACACTGATGCAGGCTCTGACGTAAGATATATGTAACTCAGGAGAGACATCCTAGAATAGAACCCATTTTTGCAATTTTTTAGAGTTACATCTGGCTCTCAGTCATAAAATTGTACTGGTATTTGATAATGACCTCACTTCGCTAGACTTTTGTTGTGAGAACATTTGAACAATCTCAATTCCTCCCATCATGGTGCTGCTGCTTGCTACCGGTATAAATATATGCCTAAAGCTGCAGTTAGCTAACACCTTCTGCCCTGACTATCATAGCCACATCTCTATAATAGACAAACTCATAAGATGAAAATTCTCGAATCTTTTGGTCATAGTGACTGTCAAGTAGTGATCAACATGATAGAGCACCAAAAGGCTCTCATGGTGGAGCTGCGTGGCATGGTCATGCCATTACTTCCGAGCGACAATGAACAAGCCAAGCTTGCTCTTCAACTCTTGGGAGATATATTGAGTTGCTCAGATAAGGCTATCTCCATGCTAGAACTTGGTGGAGACACTAAAAAGCTGACCAATCTTGTTGGAGGTAAGAGAAAAGGTGACAAGCATAGCATGGACAACCACAACTTGGAGGAGGAAGCCAAAGAAAGTGTTAGCAAGAGAAGGTATATGTATATAAATACATGCCACTAGAGGAATGTCCACTAGCTTATCATTCATTGCTAACGAAATTTGATTGATCCTCTTGATTATGATAGAAAGAATGCAGAACACACAGGTTCAACTGTGGCTCAAGCACCTCACAATGATGGACATCAATGGAGGAAGTATGGTCAGAAATGGATCTCTAGAGCAAAACATTCCAGGTATAAATGAGCATATGAACTCCTGTTTATTTCCATTCCTCGAAGCATATTGGTTTTATCTAACAGCAAAATATATACATCTAATGAGCTCATTTGCTTAAGCAGGAGCTACTATAGGTGTGCCAATAGTAAAGTGCAAGGCTGTCCTGCTACAAAGACAGTGCAACAAATGGATTCCAGTGGAAATGGAACATCAAAGTTGTTCAACGTTGACTACTATGGCCAACACACATGCAGGGGAGATGGCATAGCCGATCCATATGTTGTCGACACAGCCCATCACAGTATGGAACCTATCAATCAAAACGAATGCAATAGCCCTACACTTGAACACGAAGCCCATGAAGTTCAAGATGAAAGATTTGAAAACTTGTGTATGGTACAAAATATGCCAGAGTATTTGATAGATTTTGAATTGGAGAGAGCCTTCGAGTTTATTGTGAACTCACCATTGGGTTCTGAGCATTGGACGTTCGATGATTCAATAAGATGTGAGCACAGTCCAATATGCATATGGGGATGATGACTTGATGTTAGCTATAAGCTAGCTTGGAGTTTCATCCAGGATGTGCTGTAATGATAAGTTGTGACCTGGTAAAAATACATAGCATTTTGCTCATGACTAAGAAGTAAACCTGAAATTAAGAAGCATGTGTATAATCTATTACTATTATAAAAATTGAAGATGTTTCCGCGGTCCGTCATCCGTATTTGAGTCGGTTATAAAAATTGAAGATGTTTCCGCGGTTCGTCATTCGTGTTTGAGTCGGTTTTAATTTTATGTTTTGGTTTTAATCTATATCTCTTCTCTTCTCTATCTCTATCTCTACTATTATAAAAATTGAATATGTTTTTGCCCGTATTTTGGTACGTCATCCATGTATGAGTCAGTTTTTAAGTTCCTTTTTTAAGATCGTTCACTTTTGGTAATCTAGAAGGAATCATATAAGAAATCTGTTTAAAAAAACTTGCATGCTAACTTGAGATGATCGGACTCCTAACTGCAGCTCGTGATTTTCTAAAAAAATATATATCCAAGCGAACCCCCACAGTGAATTTCATCCTAACTAAACCATATAACAATAATAAGATTAAAATAGACTTCACCCGTTGCAACACACGGGCATTTTTTCTAGTTAATATCTCAAATTAGAAATCCTATGTGGTAGATACATATGTTGCAATGTCAATGCAGTGCTGGATATGGAAAAGTGATTCTGAGTAAGTTTGGCAGTTATTTCTGTATCACGCAAAATACTTGAAATTCTAAATAATACATTAATGGTATTGTGGATACAGAAGACATATATATGCAAACCTTCAATTTTAGGCGTAATTTTTTTTCATATATATATATATATATATATATATATATATATATATATATATATATATATATATATATATATATATTTCCCCTTGTATAATTTTTCAGCTCCACACTCTTTCCCCAGTGTAATGTACAACCAACTGCTAGCTAGAGTCACAGTCCCCCGCTAAAAAAAAAGAAAGAAAGAGAAAAGCTAGAGTAACAGTCACCAATATATTTCATGGATTGCTTCTTTAAAATGAATTGAAGAAGCAGTTGCAAGAACTTGTGTGTGCATTCATCTAAATTTCACATGCACGAGATGGCAATACTAGATGCAAACGCAACCACTAGCGTTTAGCGCGTGTTGGTATCAAGTCCAATTTCCTTTCATTGGTCAACAGTGGCTAGCTAGAGTGCAAGTAGACAGGTGTTTGTTGACAATGGATGGAAGATATCCTGTATACACAGAGATACAGGACAAAAGGATCAGAGAGCTTCAGTGTTTTATCTTTGTCTGCTTAATCGGTTGCTCAATTAATCAGCACACACATATGATGGAAATAAACTAGTAGAAAGATACTCCAGATTGTTGGGACACCCTTGCATTCATTTTCATCGCTTCCAACAATAATCACTAGAGCTTGGAGTTGAACTGTTCAGTATTCAGCACAGCAATTTTTAATCAGGCAGGGGAATGCTTGTGCAAAATTTTGCGACGTGCTGTTAAAATCGATTTATATTTCTCCATTGTCCCTATCAAGATGCTTTCTTCTTTACATTAAAAAAGAGTGATGATTTTCTTTTAGCAGGTACAATTCTAGATGATATATTGTTATCAGGTGAGGGCCCGTGCATAGTCTAGTTATTGTACTACTAAATAGTGGGTACGACTAAAATTATTCAGAAATCGGACAAAGCTGTCGTAATTACGTACCCGGATGGATGGAGTGAGTGTTCCCATGCTCTTGTACTTGCCCACCAGCACTAAAAGGAGTCCTTGCATTACTGTTCGTTCTCTCCATCCATCCATCTGTGTATCCGCCGGAAAAGATGAGCACTGCCGGCAAGGCTGAATCTGCTCCACCCTACCTACACGGTCCATGAATCCGATGCACACAGAAACTGTTGTTACATGCCACACTAGCCAGAGATGGGATGCAGGCATTCACCCCCAAAATCGTAGTTGTCGCCTGAGCTGGGTGGGTGAGAAGGCCAATTGTGGGCGGTGGGTAGAAGGGTTTGGTGCGGAGAGAGTAGACGCGGGGTGGGTTCCTCGATCGGTGGCGGGGAAGACGTACGGGGAGGAGCGCGCGGTGGAAGGCGAGCGGTAGGGTTGGTCTTGGCGGCGCCGACGCCCGACGGGGAAGGAAGGACTGCAGCCGAAGAAGATAGACAAATACAGGGACTGATATGTAAATACTGAAGTACAAAATAGGGTCCAATTTACAAAATTCCTTATCAGTTATCATCATCAGGAGGAAAAAGTACACCGAAGGTCCCTCAACTTGTCATCGAGTTACAAAATCATCCCCCAACCGCAAAACCAGATACCAAACGTCCCTCAATTAAGAAAACCATTTGCTTGAGGTCCTTCGGTGGTTTTGACCCCGGTTTTATCTGACATGGCGGCTGAGTCAGCGCGTAGGCCCCACATGTAAGATGCCATGTCATCATCTCTCTTATTTCCCATCTCCTCTCTCTCTTCTCAGGGCAAGCGGCTGGGCGGCCGACGGGTGGGGACGAAGCCGCCGCACGGCGCCGGGGGCCGAGGGGTGGGGGGGGGGGGGGTCCGGCGGATGACGTAGGCAACGCCGCGGTCCTCGTTGCCGCCGCCTTCTTCTTCACAGAGCGGGCGCACCGTGGCGTGCTCGTCGGAGGCGAGCTGGACCAGCCGCTCTGGGCTGCTCTCCGGCCACGTCTAGTCCGCCGCATCGGCGGCTACTACTAAGCTCCAGATGGGTGGTGCCATTGGCGTCGCTGCCGCCGCCACCGCAAGCGCTCACCGCGGCAAGAAGACCGGCTTCGGTTCAGGTCGTGAGCTCCGGTGGCTTCACGTTTCCGGTGGCCGTCGGCGCGGCTAAGGTGGTGAGCACCATTGGCGACGAACTGCCGCGTGAGTCGCTCGAGGTGTTCCGGCCCATCGACGAATGAGAGACCTTGTGATCAAATTGTACATGCTTTCCTCTATTCTGGCCTTCTTCATTACATGCTTTCCACCATTCATTACCTTCAGAGCTCAAATTGCAAATATATGTTCAAAATTGCTGACAGTTTTGTGATGGTTATTTTGTGATCAAAGGAATACACTATTTTGGTTCACTTCGAATAATCTGAGTTAACGAAATTTCTAGTTTTGTTTACATTTCACCATCATTATATTACTCGGTTTATAAAACCGTAGGTCACCAATAACTTTGCAAATGAAAGGCCAAACCACATGAGACAGTAACAGAAATGAAGTCTCCTAGTTCCATTTTTCAGGTTTCAACACTCCAGTAGCAGTGTACACTCTCGAAATCAAATAATGTTTCCTCGCAAAAATGAAAAAGAATTGAATAATGCATGATTGCCTTCTAGCCTAGAAGAGAGAATAAAAAGCGGGGAATATACCCAATAGTTAGTACACGAAAAAATGATCGCAGATCAATAACGGATTAATAACTCCCGTAAATTTTTGTACAAGAGCAAAAACACCATTCAAAATCATGTTTACAAGTTACAAGGGCACCAGCTCTGTGGGCATCTTGATAGAGGCAGATCATTGACGCCTTCGCTTGATCCTCTCAAGGGTGCCAAGCTGCTCATTCTCCTGGGCACTAGAGCTTTCCTCCTCCCTGTTCTCTTGCCGAGCTCTCCAAACACCGCAGCGGGAACACTCTTCTCCGCAATTTGGTCATCGTCTTCCTCCTCGTCGCAACATCAGGCAGCAGCAGCCTGTTGTTGCCTGCTGCTGCTCTCAGCCTGTGCCTGCACTCCAGCACTGACAAAGTTCATCATCCGGTTAGCAGTGCTTGGAGCTGGTGGAGCTGTGGAAGGTCCTGGCGCTAGTTGCCTTTCTAGGTTAGCCATCTCATCCTCAGGAACACCGGCTCGTTTCAGAGCGGCGGCGGCGGGGACGGAGGGGCCGCCCAACTCCACTCCGTCGGGCGCCGCTCCTCTCCCCCGGACTCGTGAGCGGCGGCCGGCAGGGGAGCCCGTGCGCCGCTCCTCCCCTCGCCGCCCGCACGCAGCTCCTCCCCCCACCGCCGCCGCATCGCCTGTCGCCGCCATCACCGCCGCCGCGTCTGGTCGCCGACGCCCTCCTCCTCCCGCCGGCTGAGTGAGAGAAGGGAGAGAGATGGGGAAGGGAGAGAAGAGGGGAAAAGAGAGAGAGAGAATTGGCTGATGTGGCAGCATGACATGTGGGTCCCATGCTGACTCAGCCGCCACGTAGGAAAAAATCAGGGTCAAAACCACCGAAGGATCTATTGTGACCGGTTTTCGTTAGTTGAGGGACTTCCGGTATCTGGTTTTGCGGTTGGGGGACGATTTTGTAACTCGATGACAAGTTGAGGGACCTTCAGTGTACTTTTTCCTCATCAGGATCCTAATTGCAAAACTTCCATGTGGCTGAGTGGGCTATATCCTGGGCTTTAATTGGGCCTCCATGCGATGGGCCTAGGCCTTAGGCGCCTAGCTATGGATCGCAAGAGCCCCAAATGAAAGGAAACCACGTTTTCCTACTTAAACCATGTACATTTAAGCCCATCTAGAAATTAGAACAGAAATAACTCCGGAGGTAATACGTCCAGGCTCCAAGCGGTGCAGAAAAATGGTAGGACTAAATTATAGACTAACGGAAAATAATGCAATGAAAACTGATGCATATATATAGCTAATCAACTCCGGCAACCTTCACCGATTAGCTGGCTATCTTAATCACAATTTACAAACAAGACCGAGCAATCAACAGTTCTTTTTTGGCGTCTGTGTCCAAACCATCATCTCATACTTTGTGTTTATCTGTGTAAGTTAATCCCTCCCAACTTAAACTTCTTTTTCATGCTAAAAATTCCACCACATCCTTCTCATCCCCCGTACTATAATACGAGTAAATATAGACCAAGTTAGTATTAATTAGAGTATCCATATAATATAGTTGGACGGACTGCGACCTGCATCGATCGTCATAATACTATAATTAGTATATGAAAATTGCCAAGACTGTCGTGTATCTAGCTAAGCTTATTTCTTGATGGCTGCTAACTACTTGCACAAAGCTAAACTAATAATTGATTAATTAACTAGGAAGACTAAACCAATTCAACTTGTGAATTGACAACAATTTCCCACATCAACCACTTCTATCCCTACACATGGGTATTATTGCTGTTCTGAATTTCATCTG